TGCACAGAAGCCAATCTGTAGTATCTTAATTATTGAGTTATAGAGGTACCTGCTGTAACGTGAATGTTGTGGAAGAATACCAGGTAAAAGTATTACATATTATCTCTTTATGCACTATAAAAAGAGGAAGAGGAGCAGGTGTGATGCCTTTAATCCTCCAAAGAAAAAACTTCTTCACTGTCAAGAGATACTGAAATCAAATACAGTTTTACATGGAAGGTATTTATCATCAGACAAAGACCTATAGTGGCAAGTTTCATTAACATTTTGAAAGATTTCATTTTGAAAGATTTCATTTTGAAGGCTCAAAAGTCTCCACACTACAAAACTCAATTTTCAGAATAGGTCAGCTACAGAGATCCCAAGAAAAAAAGAAAGTATACTGTGTGCTGTGTTGTTGCAAACTCTTTTATTATTATCTGGGTTCATATATTAACTGTGTTGTTAAGAAAGCATAAGGTCTGTCAGTACTTCTGGCAGTGCTCTTAGTGGTGGCATGCAAAATTTTTGGTTCTTCTGTAGAATGACCCTTAGATGCTGTGAAAGGTAAAGGTCTATAAATGTTTTCATGTGAGACTCTTGTAATGAAGGTGGAAACAAGAGATGTATTTTTGAAATAAAATTTTCCCAGTCTGTCTCCGTGTAGTGCTGATTCCTGCACTTGATGAGTGCAGGAGAGGAACTGAAATACTACACTCAGCTGAAGGCTTCTGAGTTATGTTCTTGGTTTACAGTGTAAAACAATTTCTTAAGCAGAAAAAAATCATAATAGAAAAAATCCCTTCTACAAGATTATCAAAATGTATAAGATTATGGAATCCACCTATATATTATTCACTTATATGTTAAAAGCACTAAAGAAACTAAAGAATCCCTGTAACACACCAGAAGCATTTGTTCATGGGAACAAAGTTTAGGCATAAAAGAAACACAGGTACAGTACAGAAATACAGTAGTCATGGATTTCAGGATCACAAGAAAAGCAAGGAATATTCTAAGCCAAACTACATATTTTAAAAATACCCAAAACAATAGGTAAGGTAGCCATTTCTCAGTCCCTGAAGTTCAGAGAGATGGAATACTGTGGTGGTTCTGCCTAAATCTTGCCCTGCACTGAAAGCAGATCAGCTAGAGAGAAAATCTGGCTGCTGGCAACACATCACAGCCTGTTTTTGTGAGCTTGATAAAGAGGGTTTGGCATTGGAGATACATGCTGTGTGTGAGATGCCAAATGAAAGTAGCAAAGGAATGGATGAAAGCTACCAAGTGTTGCTTAGCCCCCCTGTGTATCATCTGAGAAAGACAAGCCAGCTGCACACAGAAGAGCAAACAAGTCTACCTCAGACTCTGGGGGTAGCAGCAATTAACTCAATGAACTGAAATGCACTGTGATTCCCTCTTGTGAAGCAGAGTTCCTTCAAAGGCAAACAATTGCCCTTCTAATACTGAATCAAATATTTTCAAATGTGTCACCTTAATAAAAGCTGTGGGACAATTCCTCTTTCAGAAAACATCAGGGTACACAATGGAGGAAGAAAAGTGCAAATGGCTTATGATGGGTAGTATCAAAGCAGTGCAGGACAAACTAGCTCAAATACCTGATCTGAAGTAAGAAAAACAATAAGTTTGCATTGCTGCAGCCTAAACACATGATCTTGAATAGATATGGCCAAGGCTCAAAAAAAAGCTGCAAAAATAGTTAACTTAGTTCACATGTCAGTTCTTCCACAGACCATAAATAAGCTTCAAAGAGTTATAAAACCAGGCAGTAGACACCAAATGCATGCAATCTTGGAGTAGTGCTAGTAAAAGTACATCACCACCTCTCTGCTGCACACAAAAATTAGGTAAATACTTCATTCATACATGCATATACACATTGCATACACACATTCACTTCAGAGAATTTCTATAGTTTATTAGGTACTGGCACTAAATAAAGTTTTGTAAACATTTTCATTTCATAATTGTTAGTGGTAAGGAGAATATTTGTGGCGCATGGTCACTAAGCAAACAGAGTGAAAATACTTTTACAGGAATATAAACAGTTTTATGGAGTATCAGAGAGCAAGAGGAAGCTGCAAATATAGAGCACCAGCAGCTGTTCTGGGGCAAGGCAGCTGCTCTGGATCCATCTAGTAGCAAACTCTATTTGGGCAAACAAGTGGGTGGGGGACTGTGTAATGGAATATAGTGACTTTTAAAGTGGCATACCTCATAAATGAATGGGAGGACTTCTTTCTCTCTTTTTTATATTATTTTTAATAAGAATTGGGAAAGTGGCCCAAAACTGTTCCTGGATAATCAGTTGAATAAAATACCGGATTTATTACAGTGTTATTGACACCCTTTCTCAATCTATTTTCCATGAATATTCAGTTTAATTGTAGGAAAGCTTGAAAAAACAGACAGCAGAGCTGGTGCAAGAATATCTACATTTCCACATTATATATTTTTATAAGATCTAAATCCTTTGAGATTTATTTCTTCTGCCACAAATAAATAATAAAAGCACTGGAAAACTATGTATGCAAGGCAAATTTATTATGAGCACTGAAGATATGTTTACAGAAAGCTTTCAGCAAATACCTGGGAAAGCAAATATAATGTATATTAGCCATGTTGGCTTGTGGGAAATTTATCAATTAAAAAAAATAGATTACATTTATATAATTGCCTACTCAGCTCCAGTCCAATAAATATTCTAGACTGTTATGATGCAGCCAGGGCTGCTCATTCAGCAAGCAGTTGTTTCTTCTCTTGAGGTTGCTAGAGTGACAGCTGGTTGCCAACAGCATATTTTTGTGGTAACTAACGAAAAATAATTTATTTCATTCTCAGAAATGTTTTCTGGGTGCAAGCATCAATCCTACTGTGTATGTTGCCATGAGCTGGTATTTCACCCTATGTGCAGGGCACTGTCTGTGTGCCTCTGTTCAGAGAGCAGGACTCCAGTTGCTGGAAGCTCTGCGGCCTCTCCTCACCCATGGGTTTCCATAAATGCTTCTGTTTTGCCTAGCAGCAGATCTCTCTCCGTGACAACCAGAAGTAAATAGGTTATATGTTCTCCAGGCAGCTGCTGTAACATATTGTGGAATACAAACCTAGCAGCATCAAAGCCGCCCTACAAGTAACATAACTACATTAACTGGAAGGAAAATTGATTTTTAACTTCAGCTAGCAGAAGGGAATGGACGTAACAATGACATTTTCTGGTTCCTGCAATGCACCCGCACAGTTCAGCTGTTCCTTTTCACTTGTGTGAAAGAGATGCTGCACTTTCAGGCTACTCTGTCCTAAGTACAGCTGATCCAGAGGATCTCTCATAATGACTCTGAGAGAAAAATATGCCTTTGATCCATACTCATTGCCAGATCTCTGTGAGCTGAAGACTTTAGCTAGCCAGGACTCTACCTTATTTTTTGACAAGACAGAGAGAAGCTGGTGATTCTAATTCATGGCAGCAGCCACTTTTACAGTAAAACCATTTTTGTTTCTTTCTTCTATTTACATTGTTGGTATGGTTTTAATACAGTGCATTTGTAATTGTGATAAATTATGTCTATGCATATGATGGCCCTTTGGGTGTTCCTTGGAGACAGCTTTGCAAAGAACCCAAGGTTCATGACTGTCATCAACAAAAAACAGAAATAGTTCCTTCCATCATTTATTCAGCTGAATCTTGTGTAACAAATGGCCACCACACTCCATAGCTGATATCCTCAGTTATCAGCCAGATTTTTGCCAAACTTTGTATTGTTATCCTTGGCCCATTAACCTAGAGATATTAAGCTCAAACACTTCAGTACAGTTCCTGCTGTATTCCAGTTGGAGGATGATTCATTCTACCATTTCTCTCAGGAAAAACAGATCAGCTATGGGCATCATTTACAAAACCTAATGAGCTGCAGGCTTAGCTTCTTAGACTAAAGCATTAATTACTCATTTTTAATCACCTGTTTCTCAGTAATCAACAGATTTCTTGACAATTGGTATGGAGTAGCACCAAGCACAGACTTATGGCGAACATAATGCTGTGCTGAATCTGCACCATGAAAAACATCCTTGTGCTGTAATTTCATAGCTGTCTTTTACTCTTGTTTAAAAGAGCATAACTATCAATAATGCTTTGTTCAGTACGTGTGTATATAATAATGTATATGAGCCATCATTATGGTGTCCATTGTGGAAATAATGCAGTCATACAAAAGACACATTGCTCAAAATAAAACTTAAGATAAATAAAGGAAGCTATAAAATGCTCTGTTGGGCCCTCTTCTGGACCTATTTAAAGTCAATGGCAAAGTTCCCACTGACCTCAAGCAGGAACTAGCTCCTTTTTCTCTTTCTAGATTTGTTTAGAAAGAAATATAATGACAGACTTGAAAGGTAAGATGAAATATTGGGGAGAGGGAGAGAAAGAAGAAAAAAAAAGAAATCAAAAGCGGACAAAGGAAAATAAAAATCTGTATTTTTACCATTCTGCATAGGATGTAACAAGAATTGCTTAGGGTGGATTTTTTCAGATTTTCCATGTTCTGGTCTTGTCAGAATATTTTAATACTTTATTGCTTGCATTTCTTTCCTAGTTCTTTCCAGTCTCTTCTCTGTGGGCACTTCTACTGGCCCCAAAAAGCATGTGGTGCTTCACAAAACTAGAAATGTGTTTGCCATTAAATATAATGTGTAAAATCTTATGATGCTTTCAGAAAAATAACGCTCACATATCCAAAATGAGGGGAAAATGGTACCTAATCATACATATAATTCACAACATTTATTTCATCAGTAATGAATGTTGTCAGGTTTTTCCTATGTTGAACAGCCATACCTGAGGGGCACAGCATTAGAGGGCACATTCACTGCTGACATAAATGGTAACTACGGCCACTTCAGTGAAGTTATCTCCAATTAAGCCAGCCATTACATTCACTTCAAGGTATGCAATACATTTTAAATGATAGAAGCAAGTCCAGGAAATGCTGAGTACTTCTACGAACCCTCTTTCGTGTGTGACTCCCCCTGGACTCAGGCTCCTTTCCCAAATCCAGTGGTTTTGTGGTAAGTGCCGCCTGAGCAAAACACGGCGATGGTCAGCGCTGTGTCCTGTTTACCGTCGCAATTAACAAAGCGGCATTCAGCGAGAGACACCAAAGAGCCTGCTGCACTTAAAGGGCTAAGGAGAGGTGATAACAGCCCTCGCTTCGTTAAGGCTCGCTGCCCAACTTTACTGAAAATGTAGTGACAGATAAAACATAAATCAACATCCTTATCATTCTGGCTTCCTTGCCTGCCAAATGGGGGTTTAGTTTATCAGCGACCTGCAGGCCCACTGGCGGCCTTTACACTTAGAGCTGGTCAGCGGGGTGGGACAGGGTGGAAGCTAAATGGCTGCTCTAAAACGCCTTGGTGTAAACAACCCGGGGAAGGACTTCCTTGAACTGCCAGTTACCTGAGTGCGATCCATCTCACTAAAGCGTCTGCCCCAAGAGGGGCAGGATCACCAGGAAAGAAAACAAATAAAAGACACCCAGCATGTCGCAGTGCAGGCACAGGCTGGGGAATGCTGTCCCCTTGAGGGGGTGAGGGATCCTCAGCAAGGCAAGCTCCTTATGGCATTGCTCAGGAAGCAGGCAAGTATTTTGGAAAAAAAGGGACTTCATCAGCACAGCCTGCTTCCTCTGTTTTGTGACCAGAATGTACAGCCTTTGCATATATATATGTATATGTATATGTAATGCAGTGTTTGCTTTGACTCCCTGTGAGCCTCATCATGGGAGCAATCCTTTCAGAGGCACCAGTATCCCCCAAGGCTTGGGAGAGGACAGCATCAAGGGCATATCCATCCCCCCCTTGCAAGCCAGCAGACTTCTTTCCCTGTGTTATACATAGCTTGCTGTATGTGTAGGGGTTTTAGAAGTATTTGCCCCAGTACATTGTGTCACAGTTATATTTGCATTAAGTTCAGCTCATTAAACAAAACCCATTTAAACTGGGCCTTGCTCATGAAGAGGCTATGAGTTTGGACAGGAGAGCCTCCAGTTTCTGGTAGATAGGGGACTACACTGACATAATCAGCCTCATGCAAACAGTTGGTGAAGATGAAATTAGCATTTAGATCAGTGATTTATTTCTCCCTTGCGATCTGCTTCAGCAAATAATTTCTTAGGAGTTTAAAGTGAGGCTACTGTAATGGTGGGTTTATGTCACTATTAAAAGTGTCAAATGCAGGTAGGTTTGAAAGACATAACCACTGGACTTGTGGAGTTTTTTGTAACTAAAACTGAATTTATTTTAAAAGTGTTCATTTTTCCCTGTCCTTTAGCTATAGTGAGTCAAACTACAACATTTCATTTAGACAGCAAACTACTCCATATTTCCTTGGGTTTTGAAAACCCCATCTTCTGGGAACAACTCAATTGAAAATAATGTGCTGAACACAAGCAAATCACAGGTGGAAAGTGAAGAAACAGTGCTTCACCCATACCATTGTGCAAAAAAATGCAAATATATACACTGAACAATGTTACATACATTGGAGCCAAATCTTCTGGCAAAAAACAGGTACATTTTATAATGAAAATTTTGCTTACTAATTCTTTTTTCACAAAGAAACATTTTTTAAATGTTTTTCAAATACCTGGGATATAAAGAAAAGATATTCTCTTCTTTGTGTACTTGTTTGTTTAGCAGTGTGACAAGATTAACAAAGCAACAGCAACATACTTTCACATTTATTTAACTAAAAATCTTCTCAAAAGCTCATGCTGCACATGCTCAGAGTGTACATACAAGAATTAGTTTGTCCCCAAGAAGTCTGTCAGAAGAGCATGTTTCAATCTAGAGCTACAAGGAGCTGAACAAGGAGTTTTTTGAAACAACAGATAGCAAGAGAGCAGTCTCTGGAAAGGTCAGAGATGAGACCAAAGCCCTTCCACTCTCAGCGCACTCCAGGCAGAGAGGGAATAGAGTAAAAGTAGTACCCTGCTCAGCCAGGACAAGTAGAAGGCATATTTGGAAATGCAGCAAGTTTATAGGAGTTGCAAAGTTAAGGGAGGACAGGAAAGAGGGCGAAAAGGGGACCAAAGGCAGAAACCAAAGTTGAAGTCAAAGAAAAAGAAGAAGGCCAAAGTCAGAGTGTGCAAAAGGATGCAAGACACAAGTGGAGGTGGACTGCCATTACAGGGATGTCAATGAAAGAAAAGAAAACAACTGACCCAGAACAGAAACTTGGAAATGCTGGTGAATGTTTTACTTTAGTTAAAAGTTTCCAAACTCCCTCTGCCATGAGCTGTATATTGTACTTATATAAATGACTGGCTTTCCTGTAGCTGCTGAAAATAGCCTTAAAAAGGCACCTACTACTGCAGCTACTAATTGCTGTGTGGCCAACTGTTAATTGGTTCAAACACAGCACAAACTGGGTTTGGAAAAAAAATCTGCCTATGATATCTAAAGTCTAGTGTAGGACCCCGTTGTGTTCCAGGAGCTATAGATCACACATTTTGGAAGAGGCTGTGCTACTAGCCAGAAAATTTTATTCCTAATGGAAGCCCAGCTAACCACAGGATCTGCTTCAGACCACAGACCAGCCAAGCTCTACTAAAGACAGCCCACTAGGTTGGAATGCAGACCACAGTTTGGAAACCACTGGCTTATGAAATAAACAAGATAATATTTCAACCTATACCCTCAAACATGCTTTTCTTGAAGGACTGTCAGGGCTGTGTAAGAAACAGGGTAATGTCTATAGGATTGTCCCAAAAGCTCTGTGGAAATACAGTGAGCTCTGTTCTTCCAGAAATCAGCACAGATGTAGACAACTGATAGAGAATGGTAATTTTTCATCTACAACGCCTGCAAATGTAATTCAGATGCTGCCATCAGAACCATTAAATTTTACATCATCAAAACCTTCATTAAAAACTAAAATGTGCATCAATGCATGATAACCAGCACCACAAACTGTGATTTCACTTCATACAGGAAAATGTCTCTCTGGATGTGTCAGAGCCAGGACCAGTACCAAGTTAATATTTACCATCCAGCTAAGTATGAGAAATTATTGCCAAATATTTCAATATCATGAGTTTGAGCATTCATATGTGAACTTTTCAACATTAAAGGTAAGGAAATAAAAGGTTATTATAGAAAATGGAGACATTTCCTGACAAAGCCAGAATTACACAATTTTGAAAGATAGTATTTAACCTTTGGAGAGGCCAAAATTCTTTGGACTGACGCAAAAGTTATAAAGACAGATCTTGCCAAATGTAGAGTAATTTTTGAGGAATTACTCCTTTTCACAATGCTAATACAAAAATCCTTGGACATAAAACTGAGAACTCTGGAACAGGAAGGAGAAATGATAGATGCTTTAAAAAACAAGTCTATTTAGAAGCCATTTGTCTGAATTTTGTAATGTCCGCTGACAATAACATATTTTCATCGTTGACTGTATTTTACAAGTTCATTTCTTCATGGACAGAAACCAGTATATTTAGCCTCTCAAAATATGTGTTTTAAAAGTGGATGGTGATTGCTTGCTTCTATATTCTATAAAAGAAAGGAAAAGAAAAAGGACGCTGAGAAATAATGCAAGCATATACACATAGGGCCACATGTATAAACCTGTTCATACACTTACATTGAAATTGATTAACCCCATTGTGAAGATGTGGAATTAACAATGGAGTTTTTCCTTTTCTGCAATATCTCACTTTTAGAATAAGGAATTCCATATATATTTGCTTCTGCAGATGGCAAATATACTCCCTCCAAAACAGCTTCCTATGCAGAGTTTCTGTTTATAGAAACATTGAACACAAATAATCCTCTAATTTAACTGAATTACTTTTTGGTTTTGTTGCTGTCGAATGATTAAACCATGACAAAAGCTAAAGCACTAAATAGTAGTAATGTGAAATCAAATTCTGCATTGTAAACTCCAAAATTTTGAGACTTTTTAGAGTGCTAGAGTGCTTTCATTCAGGACATATTAAGGAAAATTCCACACAAATGAAGAATGTCATAATAGCAAAGAAAAAAGGAGAGAAACAGGGAGGGAGGAAACAGCAAATACTGAGAACACAACATCTGTAAAATGCACCAACAATTCCAAGCTTGCAATGGACTGTCACTGTACACGCAATGAGGAAATTTCATTTAAAAGTTTCAAAAATGACCTTGCTTTGAACCAAGTGAATGTGATTATTTCTGAACTGAACGGAAAGTAAAGAAGTTTGGATTAAATGTTTTACCAGTGCCAATGTCCCAGAACTTTCTTTGGCTCTATATTCTCTTTTCCTATGTTTGTCAGCTGAATTTAATGTTCTCTTCTTTTTTGTCTCCTGGTCTCTTTGACCTTAATGTGACATTTTAGTTGAGTGATTAATTACTATTAAATGGCACTGCATTTATTAAATGGAGTCCTTGTCTGTGTAAGAGCACAGTCACAATGCAACGATTCAGTTTGATAAGCTTAAATATACACAGTTAGATGTGGTAATATCTAATTTGTCAAGGATCTTGTGGCTAGCTTTTCTGCCACACAGCTAGAGAGGAGATGTGATTGCACAAAAAGCTTAATATTCTGAGCTTAAATGTTCTCGGTAAATTGATCTTCTCCATCATGTAATCTTATTTCAGAGTGTGCAGGAGACAGCAAAGTTCCACACAAGCCTAAGTTGCCTTAATAATAGGCCTGAGGGTTCCTGACCATAGAAATAAAAGCTATGTGACAAGATTTGTATGTCTCTTTTCAGCAGACAACAGCTGACTCGCAGTGCCAGAAGCTTTCTTTCTGGGTTAATTGAATAAGAAGAAGAACTAATGTCAGTAAAAGGATGAAAAGTTCATTGAGAAAGAAAAGATACAACTATAGGTTGGACACCTAAGTCGAAAAGAGATTGTGAATATTTAGTTTATTAAGTGAAGCACCAGCACCTAACCTTCTAATCAGTCAGGTTATTATTCTGTCAGTTATATTCTTCGAACACTGCTTTACTCTTTTATTCTCTAACAGCTGATTTGGAACTTTTTTTCAGACTATAATGAATCATCAAAGAAAAACTTCTTGCAAGAAAAAGTTGATTTTACCATCTGCTGGGAAAAAAATTCACAAAAAGCTCAAGAGTTTTGAGTATTCATGGGAAAGACAGACAGCAGCTGGGGCTAGTTCCTGACTGTTTCTTATATCAATTCTTTTCCTCTCTGGTTAAACACAAGTGGGACAGCA